GTCCTAATAGTTTACTTTTGGATTTATGTTCCATCCTGGAAGTCCTAATAGCTTACTTTTGGATTTGTGTTCCATCCTGAAAGTCCTAATAGCTTACTTTTGGATTCGGGTTTTATGAGCAGACCCCACTGAGACATCAGAGTAGGTGAGGAGAGAGATGAAACCGGGGCCACCTGACCTCTGCCCACTCCCTGCCCTGATGGCTTTCAGACTCTCTCTTCTGCTTTCTTGAGGGACCTGGGCTCACCTGGCCATGCTGAAAACTCCTCATTGGGATATTCCTACCACCACTAACCCAGATACTAGCACATCCCCATGGGGAGATTGCAAGCCTTTGCATTTGTCCCCCTGTGATAGACTGAGGTGGTAGCCCAGAAGAAGGAAAGACTGACTACCTAGCCCCACGCTAAGGACCTGCATTATTATTTGCACTGAGCCCCCAAGCTTATGTAGCTGGCACTTGCATAGGGCTAGGCATAGATGAAGCATGATACGAATCTCCACAGCATAAAGCAATAGGATCCACAGACTGGCCTCATCAATACAGGCCAGTCAGGAGGAAACACTCACTGTAGTACCTGAACCTTACCATTTCCTGAGAGAGGTGTGTTATGCGAGCAAGTCTTCTTGGACTTAAAAGGATTATTAAAAGTTATAGCCTTTTCAAATGACTTAAAATCTGTAAATAAATTTTAAGAATACCAGCTCACTATAGAGACTATAATAGCAACGTGTACATAGACATTTTCATATATGCATCTTGCACTCATGTCATGGCCCAGAACTTACCAGCAGGAACCCAGAGATGACAAGTGTCACCAGAGAGGTCTCAAATACTTCTGGAGACATAGTATTCAAGGGGTCCTGCTTATCCCAAAACTCCCTCAACAGTATGTCATGGAATTTTGCTAATGTTTTATGGCTCTCTTTTCATCTCTCTCCAAGAAATATTACAGGAATTGAAACCTTTATTGGTCTGGATATCACAGGAGCTCAGCTCCTCTTCTATTAAATGGATGTGAAAATGAATGATAAAAATAGTTGAAGACTAAAGGGAAACTTGGTAAATTCTGAGAAAAAAAATCTTTTCAAATCTCTGTGGTTGACATAACTAAACGCACATATAGAACTGAAACTATCACGAAATAATTTTGGTTAATATTACAAAAATGTCTTCAGATAACAAGACCAAATAGGGGATTTGTAGGTGATATTTTGTGCCTTATCTAAATATTCCAACTCTCCCTTTGTCTTTCATGTGTATATGCAGCCAGTAAAAAAGGCACACGACCTTCACATTAACATCAGCAGACATTCTCTGCTCTCTGGGCTTCAATGGGTAACATTACAAATGCTTGACAATGTAATTTGCAAAAGGACAGCAGCCCATGTGGATGAATGAATGTTAGATTTCAGATGTCACTTGTAGAATCAGCCTTAGACCCTTAAATTCCACCAAGAATCTGTACAGTGTTCTGTACAGAAACAAGTGTGTGTCCCGTGTCATAAAGAAATACTGGCAATAAAATGTGGCTAACAGTGGCAGTGGCTTGAAAAGATGCTTTATAGACAACTCCACTCCCTCCTTGGCATTTAGTACTCTTGAAGAAATTGAAAGAAAGGGAAGTTTAATTTAGAGAGGCCTTCTGCCCTGCTTAGCTGAAGTTCACCCGCTCAACATGAAATAATAATGCATTCAACTGTCCATCTTCTAATAAGTAACCTTTGCGCCACCTCAGTCACTGGTGAAACCCACAAACAGAGAATGAGAATGAAACAGAGTATCCGAAAGAGCCCACAGATCCCTGTGACCTTCATGTGATTATGTTTGTGCTAATGCATGGAGGAGAAAATTCCACACTCAGACTTCTGAAGAACCCGATTCATTAAAAATGCATTGGTCGTTAACAAGGGAATCAAATGCGCTGTCCGTTGTCCATTGACAGACACACAGAACCGACTGGCACAAGAAAGTCTGATTTGCAAACCTTTCCTTCTCTGCCTGCTGCCACCTCTTGGTCCTCTTTCCAGAATCAGTAGCATGAGGCTCCAGAAAGGAGCCCACCCTCTTAGGATTAAAACTTTATATTTGCTTCTTAAAGGGACTTATATTAAAGAATCTACTCCACAAGGGGATGCAAACTCACATCTATACTAGAGTGCACATCTGTTGGGTTGGAGTAATGAAGAGCCACTGGGCCTGGCCAAGTAAACCAAAACTGTCACAACAAAAATTTTAAGAAATTTGCAAAATGAAAAGAAGCTTGCTATGAGGAACCCAGTGGGGGCCACCAGTGGCATTCAGATCTCTAAGCTTGATTAGATGGGGAGAGTGGAGTGTGGAAAGTTCAGTCACCAGGGGAGCTGGGGGTAGAGAGGCAGCACTGTGAGTTGCAGATTGAGATCTGATAGGAAAGGTTCAGTGGAATCAATGCAGACCTTCTGTCATGTCAATTCTTCAGCTGTTTAAATCGTCTTTATCCAAGAATACCACCCAGTCTTCTGATCAGTCTCCTAAAGTCTTCACCACTGGTGATCTACAGTTATCCTAACAGATTTAAATCGGCTTCTCTGTATTTGCAGAAAATTAATACCTACTAAGTTGCTATTCAAAATCCCCTACAATGATCCTTTAAAACTTGTTTTTATACTCCTTGAGTAACCTGTGGACAAATTGTAATTACAAAATGTTTGTCTGAGACTGATTCTTCCCACAACTCAAATAGAAGTCTCAAAAGATTATGATGAGAGAACGTTCCAGGTGAGGAAACTAGGAAAGCTGTGGAGGCCATTCTGCTGCTGGCCCTTCAGCTACACATAGAGTGAGTGGTGTATGGTGGTGCAAGATGGTGCCAGTGATACAGTCATGAGGGTGATACGCGGTAGCACGAGAGGTGCACAGTGTCCTCTGAGCAAAGGAAGCTCAGACTTGCCTGTCTGCACAGCAATGAAGCCACCGTTTGCTCCCTGCAGTCTTCAGTATTCATTGGGTTTAAAAAATGTCCACATAAGCTCTCTCTCTTCCCTGTGCCTGCTTCAAGATGAAAGCATTCACCTCTTTCTGCCCCAGCCATCTCTTGCCACTCTGAGCCATGATAGACTCTGATTCCTCTGGAACTATATAATGCGACGAGCTCCTTTAAGTCCCTGCCATTGGGACGTCCCAGTGATAATGAACTGTAACCTGGAATTGTGAGCCACATAAAGGCAAAATGTCCACATAGATTCCTGCTGTCTGTCCCTAGTTTTCTGTGGGCTGTGAAACTCTTCAAGAAGTTCTACAGGTGATTACAAGCCTGAGTGAGAACCAGTAGTTTAAGCCATGGGTCTGTGGGGAAAACCTGGGAACTACTAAAAGGAGCTCCACAGTCAGACCTTCAGACCTTGGTATCGGCATCTCCAGACTTAAAAAAACAACAACAACAAAAAAATCCCAGCTATAGATTGAAAACAGTTGGGAAAGAATTTCATCTGAACTGCATATTATAGACTTTTTCTTGTCATAATTGCTTAAATAATTCAGTATAAAAACTACTTACATATGTGCATTGTGTTCAGCATCATGAGTAATCTGGAAGCAATTTAAAGTGCGAGAAAATGTGCATAGGTTATATGCAAATGCAATGCAAGTAGAGATAAGAGATTGAGCATCCTCTGATTTGGGTATCCATGGAGGTCCTGGAAATGGTCCTTTGCATTCGGAGGGAAGACTATTTGTAAACATCATATTCGATAAACTCTGAAAGACCCAACTACTTAGTTCTATTCTAGCTATTGATCTATGGTGCACAGTACACAATTAAGAGTCCATGTAAACCCTTCTCTGGTGTGTAAGATATTTCCAAGGACTGCACACGGGGAGATAGGAATATGTATTTAGGTGGCTTGGGATATGTGTATATTATAAACAAATTAAATAACATGAAATGTTACTTTAAATATAAATTTTATGGGACTGGAGAGATGGCTCAATGATTAAGAGCACTGGTTGCTCTTGCAGAGGACCTGGGTTCAATACCCAGCACCCACATTATGGATAACAACCATCTGTAACTGCAGTGCTGGGGGAATTTGAGGCCCTCTTCTGACCTCTGGAGGCATTGCACAAACAGGCACACATACACACATGGAGGCAATACACTCATATACATAAGATAAAAAAATAAATAAAATCTTTTAATATTTTTATTAAAGAACATTATGGAGCATTTATAGCAAACATACACTGTCTCAATACATTTACATATATATGACCTCATTTGATGCTCACAGCAGCCAACCCAAGCAGGAAGTATGATCTTTATCCCTGACTTTTATAAGAGAAAGTTGATGCATAAAGAAGTTGGGAAACAGTTCCAAGTTTGAGTCCTAGTTAAATGGCCGATCTAAATTTAAACCTGGGCAGAGTTTAAAATGTAAGAATGCTTGCTGTTGTATCAAACTGCTTTCTATGTCTGCTTTTGTCATCTTTCTGTCACTGTGGCAAAATACCTGAGATAATCCACTTTAAAAAGTAGTAAAATTTTATTTTGGCTCTTTGCTCCCGAGGTTTCAGCCAATCTCCAGCTAGCTCCTTTGTTCTGGGGCCCTTAACAAGACAGCATTAAGACTGAAAGGAGTATGTGGTAGAGGAAAGCTGCTTGTTTTGTGGTGGCCAGAAAGCAAAAAGAGCAAAAGAATGAACCAGGATCCCAATATACCCTTCAAGGGCATGCCCACAGTGGTTCAGCTTCTTTCTATGAAGCGCCTACCCAGAGGTTCTGACACCTCCCCATGGTGTCACGGGACCTAAGGCACATTCCAGGTCCAAGCTGAGTATTATATAAGTTGGAATTGAGGATTTGTCAGTAAGTTAATAATTCAAAAATATTTCCAAGACTTATGTTAAGCAATAGTAAGTAATCAAGTGGATATCAACATCTCTCCTAAACCAATCCTCTTGTTTGAATTGACTGAATAGTCACAAAGTATGAATGGAGTGCCTTTCTGCAGTGACGGACATGCAGCAGTCCGTGGCCTGCAGAGTTCACAGTCAAAGGGATACTATTAGGAAGGAGGAAGGAGAGCACAAGAGGAGGGGTACAAGAAAAGGAAATGGGGTTGGTGGATATGATCAAAGTATCCCATGCATCTAGGAAAGTGTTATGAAACCCATTATTTTGTACAGTTAATATTTGCTAATAAAAATACAAAACAAAAATTTTAAAGCACAAGCCATTCACTATAGGTCTGGTGTAGAGGACGGTCCTGGAACTTTTGTTCTCCAATGTTTCCTAACTTGGAAACTTGTTTCCTAAGCTCCTGATCAAGAGAAACCTGCTCAACCCATAAAATTTATGTTTTCATGTCTGTGCCCATGGAAATACCTAACCTCAAATTCCCTGCTAGCATACAATGTTGCTTCAAATTTCTGAAACCTTTAGCCAATGTCATTTATTCATTCTGAGTGCTGGTCTCCCCTCTGGATCTGACAGGGCCCCCATACAGGAGCTGCCTTCCAACCAGAAAGATTAGTTTATGGTCCTACAAGGTTAAACGTGATACACGTGTTTGGGGAAAATGGAGATGTGCATTAAGAAGAAACATTACTTTTTGATCCAGGCAGGAAAGCATACATAATCTCCTCTAGAGCCTGTGAAAGACTTCATTTTACACATGAAATTGTGTGGAATTGCCCCAGACTGCATTCAACATGTTTTTTGAGAATAGCCATCCTCAGAACAAGCTGCTGAGCAGCAGTTAGGGCCTCAGAGCAGAAATATAAATAAATAAATAAATAAATAAATAAATAAATAAATAATAAATAAATAAACAAACAGAAGTAAATGTAATCTGAGTGAAGTTGTAGAGAACAAACCTACACCCTTGTTGGCACAGTGCCTGGGCGGGACCAGCCCTGGGCAGTACGATGGAATGGTGAGAAGGGGACTCTGCACACAGGAGAATATGACACAGAGGGGCCTGTCTCAGTACAGAAATGTTTTAAATTAAGAGATATACTTAATTGTTTAAAAGGGCTTTTCCATGCTTCTGTGCATTGTAAAACTGTCTTTTCTCAATCTGGTATAAAAATCCAGACCCAATAAGCTTGAGGAAGCATTCACATTTTTCTAAACAGTGAATGTTCAGTCATTTGCAAATTTACCAAATCTAACCATCAGTTGGGGCTGAATAGAGACCATGAGTTTTACATTGTGTAAGGCACTGCCTACCTTAAAATGCCCTGCTCTTTGAGCATCATAAATAAATCACATATAAAAAATTCAGGAGAAAGGTCTTTTGCATATATGAGGTTGCTGGCATCTTCTGATGGGTCATCTTACCCTTGTTATTAAATGACAGTGATCATTAAAATGCCAAACATATTTTGACAGAATTCACTTTATAAAATGTCAGCAAGTCTGTGTTTTTTATTGGTTTGCTCCAAATCAATTTAGAAATTTCAATAGAATGCTTGTAAGTATTCCCCAAGCAGTGTCCGTTCCTGACTCTCTGCACCAAAAAATATTACAAATTAATCAGATTTTCAGATTTCTGCATAATGGCTTTGCACATTTATTGCTTAATCCTATTATAAAATGTTGTTATGATTGACACATCACTGTGGAGATAGAAGTCAATTGAATAATATGTAGCCGTCAATTTTATTTGTGGCTTAATGTGCTGAAGTATTTTTCCACTTTTCCATTATTTATACGTCTGTCCCTTTGGAGACTATATAGAATAATTTGTTTTAAATGAGCCAATAATACCATCTTTAAAATTTATAAGTGTGACAGAACCATATCCTTTTTCCTTGATGGTCCACAGCATGCCAGTAAAAAGAGTCTGAACTGTCTTCCACTTGTTATTCATGGGGCAAACATCAGGAAAGTGGATCTTGTTAAGGAACTGGATTTTAAGCCCCCCTGTTAGAAAGCACCCAGAAAATGAAAGCTGCTAACTTGGAACCCTCAAAAATGGCCACCAGTTCTGTTGGATTTTATTCACCTATTTATCTCAGCCTGTACAGTTTGTCCTGAAGCAAAGCACATGAATGCACAGACCAAAAGGCCTTTAGAGATATGCTGTTGAGGTGCTTAGCAATCTACCAGCATCTCGGGGCAGGAGTTAAATGTGTTCAATGCCTAGCATAGTGGGGCTCTGTGACATGATGGCAATATGTTTCCTCTTTTGATCAGCACTCAGAACACCTGATTAAGAAGACCCATATTCCTTTTAGGGCATGGTGCCCACGGAAACACTATACTTCAAATTCCATTGAAAAAGGCTGTTTAGGAAAGAACACTCATAAGATACAGTCCAAAGCTTGTCTGGAGAGACAGCGTAAGAGATTGAAGGGAAGAGAGAAATAAGCTCTAGGGGACAACATGAATGGACATGGTCATGCCTGAGATCATACTTTGGCTTTGGACAATTAGTTTAGCTATTACCTGTGAATAGAAGATGCAATTTCACCCACACAGTGAAGCAGGGTATGCCTCACAAACCGATGGACTGAAAGTCTTTGGGTGTATGACAGCATAGCATTCCCTGCTCTCTCCACTTATTCCTCATGACTTCGTCCATCTTGAATGTCCTCTTGCATAATTTTTTCAATTGACAGGTGATTTGCCCACAGGAGAGACTGATAAATCACTCTTACATATCATCTATTCCTTAATGTCCTGTGGCACCATAGCGAAATAAGGCCATGTGCAGTTCCCAAGCTGGACTTAATATTGAGTGAACTTTTTTTCCTTTGAATTTTAGGGGCCAGAGGAAACACAGCACTGTCAGACCCAGGAACTCCTGACCAACACCAGGCCAGTCAGACCCACCCCCCTTTTCCAGTTGGGCCACAGGTCAGTATCTCTCAAGTACTTTCCATTGTGCTGCATTTGGATGGCTTTACCATATAAATAACCAAATAAATAATAATGAGTTAAATCCAATTAACTCCAACAGAGCAAAGATGGTGATAAATTTTTGTACGGGAAGCTGTATGACTACATTATTTATTAAATACTATCAAGAAAATATGCGTGTGCAAAAGTCTCTTCCTAAAGGAAAGGTTGGTTTTAATCATGTGGAAACATTTTTCCTTAAAACCCACTACATCTGTACTGTTGGGTATCATGTAGTTTTCTTGAAAGTAAAACTTTAATGACTAGAGTGTGAAGGAAATTAAGTTATTTCAACCTTACTATAGCCATTTTTTGAAATACAAGATGTGATTTAATATAAAAAAGTTAATGCAATTTTAATGCAAGTTCAGCTTATTGGGTTTGACAATACTGTACATCACACATAGCTCCTGCATTAATAAAGAAATACATTCATTATTTTTTAAAGTCCAATATTTGTTTTTTGCAGCCTGGCGTGGGTTATATGGAGATGTAGAACACAATTATAAAAGGCTGGGCTTTCTTTAACCTCTGCCATCTAGTACGAAACTTTCAGAGTTCATCTCGCTTTTATGGAGAGAAATATTGGGACCTTTCTCTTCCTTTGCTGTCATTGTTGTTTCTGGAAATTAATCACTTTCAGCACAAGGAGGCTTGCCCCGGCATAAAGCTTGAACTCATCTTGACTTTCGTTCCAATCACCATGAAATCTCCCAATGTCCTCAGATCCCATCACCCATCTCATATCCCAGACAACTCCATATCTAAAGACATTCCCTGGGGAAAATGCCTATTGAGAGACATCTACCAAAGCTGAGAGAACTAACAGAACATCAGTCATTGGCTTTCCTGTGTCATACCCTTAGAATGTCACTCTTGTTACCTCATTGTGTACAAATGTTTATGTGTGTCTGAATGTGTGCATAGATAGATGTGCCTGAAAGTATACCAGTCCCAACATGCACTAATGCCTCCAAGTTAAGTGAGTAGAATACAGACTCAAGTCAGGGAGGAATGGTGGCTTTGTGAACTGGAGAGGGAATACCCTGCTTTAAGCCCAGAATCCAACTTTTAAAATTCTGTAGGTTAACCTCAGAGTCCTGTATACAATCTGTATACAATCTGAAAGCTACCATAGGTCTTCTTTCCTCTTGGCATCATAGACTAACAGTGATCACACCAGGAACCTGAGGGCTGGGTTACTATTATTATTTATTATTATTATTATTATTATTATTTGCCAAAGTCTACTCATTTTGGTTTTTAGAGTGACTTTGCATTTTTCAAAAGGAGTAACAAAGTTATTTGTTGAATTCAACAAAGTGTACAAATTCTTTAGGATCTAGGTCCATGAACAGTAGGCTACAACTAGGATTTTAGGAGCCAGGGTGCCTCTCCAGAGTTTTCCCTGAAGGAATCTGCAGGGGACTCTAGAGGGATGCCCAAAGAATGTGTTCACCCTTGCCCTCATTTCTCAGATGCAGCAACCCCAGGTCTCTGAATCTCTTCCTTATATTACAGAAAGAAGTAAAAGACAGATTCTGGTACATTGCACCTGGTATTAAACTTGATTTCTTTATGCTCTAGAAATGGGGCTTCCAGCGAGTTTCTCTGCATATCACTGTTTGGATAACTGCCCCTTTGCAATAGTGCCCGGTGACTATGTCCTGGACTTTGTGCCATGCCTATATTGAAATACCTTTTCCTTTTTAGAGTCATTCTACATTGAAAAAGAAAGTGGAAAGAACCCTCCTTAATAAGAGTTTTGTATTGATTCCAGTAGAGGAAAAGCAAGTGTGGGATGTTTCACGCTCTCGCAGGGGTGCATCAAAGTTCTGGATTAAGAACTTGAAGATCAAGTATCTATCCAGAACAGAAATCTTTAGTAGGTCAGCACCTAAGGACCCCAACCAGCACTCAAGCAAGCCATGACTATTGTATCAAGAGTGGTCATACATGTGTTTTGATAACTTTTTAACTGGGTAAAGAGTGTTAAAGAAATAAGAAGCATTTTTAATATTTTATCTTAAAATATAAAAAATTAATGTTTTCTATATTTCCTTTTAGATCTTCATGTACATAGACATACATATATAATTTTGTGATTTTTAACAGTAATCACCTTTTTACTTAAAAGTTGGCCAGTTTATTTTCATATCAGGAACATTTTGTACTTTCCTAAAAAGTCATCCGAATGATCCCTACTGGTGACGTACCAGTGTTTCATTAAGCTTAGCCCTGTACCAAACTATTTTTCAACACTGGTGCATTTTAAAATGCAATGCATATTTTCATACATTTATTTTTTTCTCTGTTTGAATTCTATCTCCAAGCTATATCTTAGGGTATATTCTGAGTCAAAAGGGGAAGAATATATTTTCTGTTTTTGATATGCATGCGTTTTCAAATTGCGTTCCAAAAGAATTATGTTGGAGTGTGTGCCCTCCAGCCACAGGCATGCATAATGGTGGTACTACAGACTTCCTAACATCAAAGAAATCTGTTACCATATTGTTGTTAATTTAACACTTGAAAATAGCATTTTGTTTCTATTTTTGAACCAAAAAAAAAAAAATCCCACCAATCTCAGTGAATTTTTTTCTGTGACCAATAGAACAAATTAACTGAGCAATTCAAATATATGAGGGTTAGGAGTAAATGAAAATTCAATTACACTTATAATATGTAAAGATAAGATAATTCTTTTAAAGATATTTGAGCACCTCAGAAATAATCTGTAAATCAATTCAAGTTTTCCAAAGAAATAAGTGAAATGCTCTTTCAAATGTTTTTGTTTTTTGTTTTGTTTTGTTTTTGTGAGTCCTCTAACCTTTCCTCTTCTGGGAGAGCTGTTTCTTCAGGAACTTTCTGATCCTGACACACTGATAGGATTATGCTTTGAAAGCCTATGCCCCCTTCCACTGCGGAGTGAAATAAGTTTCTGTTATTGTATTGCAGCCTCTTCTGACCGCACAGCAGTTAGCCTCCGCTGTGGCAGGGGTGATGCCGGGCGGCCCCCCACCCCTCAACCAGCCCATCCTCATCCCCTTCAACATGGCCGGACAGCTAGGTGGTCAGCAAGGCCTGGTCCTCACACTGCCCACAGCAAATCTCACCAACATCCAAGGACTGGTAGCAGCAGCTGCAGCTGGAGGCATTATGACCCTGCCGTTGCAAAACCTACAAGGTAACGCGCTGGGTTCTGGGATTGTGGGTGGTCTACCACGAAATGGATAAAAAGGTACTTAGAATGGGGTGTGTGATTTAGAGGTGCTTCTACCAGAAAGCATCTGAAAGACCTCGCAGGAAGTAACCTTTCCAATTTCTGTAAACTCTGAGCTTGCTTAAATTCCAAGCTTTATCAATCCTCATTTCCTGTTGTGGGCACTGAAGCCTTTTAGGTCCTCTAGAAGCAATTGGGAGAAATCGTGGCAGGACATGTTATCACTTAAATGTAAAGTCCTTGTGTTATTGGGAGACACAAGTTATAATCTCACAAGTTCTTCAATTTTTCCAGGTGAAAAGAACAGTTAGAAGTTACTTGTTTGTATGCAAAGTGGTTTGGACACTTCAAATACAAGGCATTATCTGGAAAAATTAATCTAACGATTAATTTTGCTACTAAGTTGGTTTTAGCTATAGTATTAAACACAGATTACATTTGTTGAACTCAAATTTTGTAAGGAGAAAAGTACTTGGATGGTGAGTATTTGTGTTACCACTGGGTTCTGGTAGAAATTAAACTTATTTTACCCAGAAAAAGTTTCTCTCTCGAGATTTTGAAAGTTTTAACTTCTCTTTAAAACATTTGATGATACTGACACTGGTTGATTGTCAAAGACTCCATCAGTGGAAGAATAATTATGGCGAAAAATGGTCTAAATAAGAGTAGATTTTTGCTGAGGAGAGAACTACTGTGGAATCTTCAAAGAAGTTTAATTCTTTATTTGTATAATGCTAGCGTCTTCTATTTTACAGAATAAAGGTTTGGCTGGGTAAGTCATCAGAATAACAAGTTTGAACACTTTAAATTGGCCAAATGTCAGGCCTCCATATGCTTTACTAAATTGCTTATTAAATTTATTAAAAGTTGGTTAGGACGTCAGTTCACAGACTGAAAAGTAAAAACTGGTGAACTCTGGACCTCTTCACGGTCCTTTTGTTCTGTTATCTTACTCATTGTTGCTACTTTTGAACTTTCATTTTAATGTTTTAAACAAAGTCTCTCGTATACCATTAAATTGTGCCAAGAAACCTGCCATTCATAAATCATGTATGCCCAGGATACACTAATGCATGAACTTTGCTTGTTTCAAATTTGAGTGCCTGGGAAGCCAGGAACTCAAGATTAAGCAAATAGAGCAGAGATACACAAGGTGAAAGAGGAAGCAACAGAATCTAGGGCCAGGCTTCTTAATGTAGGTGGATGATGAAATCTTAATGAAGATGTGGGCATTATCAAAATGCAGCCTTCCATTTGGAATATGTGTGCTTATGGTTATATTGAATATTATAAATAAACATCAGTGTACAGAGCTCCTAGTCCATGAATTAATTCTGCTTGGTTAAGATGGACACCAAAGTCAGAGTTAAAAAAAGAAAGTCTTCTTATATTTTTGTTACAGTTTGGTGTTAGGATTTTAGTGCCTGTTACTATGGAGTTTCAAAATTGTGATGGTCTTAACTGGATTGAATTAGTGAACAGCAAGACCTTCTTAATTTTGTTTTTAATGTTAAGTTGAAGTATGAGCTTTGAGTTTAGAATTTGACTTCTGTGTATTGTGGCCTGGGTAATGAGGGGCAGGAAAAATATTAACTCTTTTTACCCGTTGATCCTTTTGACAAATTGCTACAATCAGCATCACCTTCAGAAATGTATTTGAGTTCTCAACAAAGCTTGTGTCTGAGACATAGTGTAAACAAACATTTTTTCCTTTGTCTTCATCTTTAAAATTTCAGTGATGTTGGAGAAGAGATGATGAGACAGTTACAATGAAACACCTCCCAGCTGTAAGTCATCCGCTAGGAGAAGCTTTCTAATTTGTCTTAACGTTGGAACCTTTCTCCCAACATCTTCTTTAATGTCCCAAGCACCATAAAATAAGGAAAGTTCTGATTTCAGTTTCCTTGGACTTTTCTGTCCTTACAATATCCTCTCTCATGATTTCTTCAACACTCAGACCTCACTAACCAAAAAGTAAACCACCCTGGTTTGCTGACCACCATGATGTGTCCCAGGACACAGTATTTCCAGTGTTAAAATCTGAAAGTTCCAGGAAAATCAGTAAGAGCTAGTTGTTCTGTGAGATGTTCAAGGGGGAATAAAGGTGATAATTAGGAAGGTTCAAATCTCTAAGGTGACAATTATTAATGTCTACCCTCTGAGAGCAGCGTCAATCATCTCCTTGCGGTCAATCCACCAGCAGCCTGTGATGATCCCTATGCAGTGCTTATGTCCAGTGCAACTTCATAGATTATATGGGAGAAGGTCACATCACATGGGCAGAGTAAATGGCTGACTGGCAAGAAAAATCATCTTTAAGGATCCTGTTCTTCTCTGAGACTGAGACAGTCCTAGACATCCTTAGCTCATGCCCTCTCTCAAGAGCAATACTCTTGCAAATGAACTAATATCTTAGAAGGAATCCATATATACATTTATATAGCCAACAGCCAGGGTAGAAGGGGGAAGACTGCTTCCCCTCTCATCGCCTGTTCCTCATACAATAATCACAGTAACTTCAGCACAACGTGTTCAGAGTCTTAAATGGTTAGCAAGGTGTTCATCTATAATAGATATCCCACCTTCCCCAGTGATTTGAGTAATAAAGAGAAGAGGAGACATTTAAGTGTAACACGCTTAGTCCGAATTAAGTTTTTGCTCCTGTATGCCATGCTTGGTCCCAGACAGCTATCTTTTTCATTATTGTGAAGTATTAAGCTTTTAATCCATGAAACATCTTGACCAATAGGAATTGTATCTGAGGACCTTCTAACTTCCCTATTCAATCCTCCTGTCTTCCCATTCTTCTAATTCAGAAGCTCAAAATTTGCTAAGACGAAAACCAATTTGCCAGTATCCGCTTCCTAATGGCTTAGAACTCAGGGATAAGTTTTCAAATGTGTTTCTTTTTATTAATGAAATTGAGAGCTTATTCATTTACACTAGTATTAAGTAACATAGGATAGCTCCCAGAACCCAGAGGTTGTGTGCGCACGTGCATTTTAACAAGCACGGATGAACTGATTCTACACTGATAACAGGCCTCCTAAGTTCAGACAGCAGGTGTCTATCTGGTCATACTCTCCTCTTTGGAACATGGTTTCAGACAGCACTCTGGAAACATGTTGAAAACACAGATCCTCGGGCTCCAGGTAGACCCCTTGAACAGAATCTGCACTTTTTCAAGGATCCCAAAGTGACTCCTGTATACAGTCAAGTTTCAGAACTAAGAGTCTAGAGAGCTTTTTCAAAATTCATTTTACAACTCCCTCTGTCTTCATCTGTTTGGGCTGTTATAACCAAAATACCATACCCTTGGTGGCTTATGAACAGTAGACTTTTTCTCATAGTTCTGGGGGCTATTTCAGAAGTCCAAGATCAAGGAACCAACATGTTCAGTTCTAGTGGGGCTCATTATGGGGTTCCCAGATGCTTGTCTCTGCTCTGAGACCTCACTGGCAGAGGGAGCTCTTTGGATTTCCTTTTATAAAGACACTAGTATCGTGATCTAACACTTCTCTCAGGCCCTGCTTCTTAATACCATCACCTCGGGGAATTAAGTTTTACCACAAATTTGGGGGAACACAAGCATTCAACCCATAGTATCTCCTAATATTGACATCAAGCTCCCCTGTCAACCTCTGAGCATGCCATGTGACTAAGCAGTGCCCTGTGAACACTGCTGCCCCAGATAAGGGTGCCAGCCAAAGGGGCAACTTATTGGAGATGATTTTCTTTCTGTTAGGACATTCATGTCCACAGGACCAAGAGGGATTCCCCTGCTTAATAAGAGCATTATTGAAGCCTTTTGACCTAAGACTTTTTCAGGCAAAGCTTTGCACTGGGCCCAGTAAGAGATCCATCTGTATGACCTACAAGTTTTGTTTCTTTTCTCTTCATATTTTTCCTTGCAAAGAAGAGATTCACCCCAGTCTCATCACTGCCTGTGTATTATTATAAAGATAGTCCTAAGTGGAAGGAGTCGAATGTTACCCAGGATCTAGGACAGCCCTGTAGGGCTAGCCTCATTCCATCTAGAATGAGAACTGAACCTTAGAGGATCCAAGGTGAGCCATCCTCCTGTCTGCAGCAGGCAGGTGTTCATCCCCCATGCCCAGAATGGCTAAGAACCCATCTCCATCTTCTCCTGCCCCCTTCGGGCCACTTCCTTATTATATTTAGATTCACCCATGGTACATGTTGTCTTCACTGAGTGTATGCATCTTTCCAACTCACGTAATTATCAGGAATTTTCCTCTGCTCCATTGTATCTATAGCCTTATCTTGGCATTTATTAAAAATTTAGATTTGTCCAAGATAGAAACTGCCTATTGGGATGGAATTTCTTATTTTGGACTATAGAGGTTTACCAGCCAAACTGGAGATGGAGCAATGCTTGTTGAGGAATCTATTCTTATTCAATGTGGGGTTATATCATATGGAACCTGAGCAAGTATGCTGAGGGAATGTGCTAGACCTCTCTCATTTGAGGGAGCAACAGGTATAGCAGACTTTGTTAGCCAATCACTGAGAGCTACAGACGTCAGTGGGCCTCCTTTGGGCAGGAACTGAGGATGAGACATGCTCTGCACTCAGAACTGCCTAGACACTCTGACTAGGATTCAAGCCCCAAAACACTCTGTTTGGTTTTTAGATAAGACCTAGAAACAGCCTTCTTCTCACCATGCTGCACAAACAGATGAAGATTGTACCCTTTCTTGTCTTCCCTCTGAGTACTTCTTTTCCTTTCCAGTTACCTTCCACCATCACCCATCCTGGGTCCCTCCATTCCTGGGTCTTTTGTGCCGTGTTCACAAGGCTTCTGCTCCATGTGAGTGTCATCAAACCTACAACTGTGAAATGAAACTAGCAATGACCAATGATGTCAAACACAGAAAATTACTAACGGTGTCCTGTCACATCCTTAAAAACTTCTTTCAAAGTCACTATCTTCCATTTGATGT